TGTATGTATATATGTATGTATGTGTATATATATACATATGTATATATATATATATATGTATATGTATATGTATATGTAAATGTATATGTGTATATATATATATATATTTGTATATATATATATGTACATATGTATATATATATATAGGTATATTTGTATATATATATATATACACACATGTCCTGGAGGGGGAGGTGACCATATAGCTCACACCACCTTCGAGGACCTACATTTTCATCTGTGATCTGCTAAACATGCTTATACATTATACACAAATAAGGCAAACTGTACATATAGATATTTGAAACATGTGTGCAAATGTATACTCGACAATAAAGTTAAATACAAATACTGCAAAAATATCAATATTCTGAGACTCCTTGGGGAGGGCCCCATGGAGAAATGTAAGAAACTTCGAAAAAGCAAAAAAAAATAAAACCAATATTCTGAGACTCTTGGCTGACCTTCCTCCCCCCCAAGACCTCTGGAAAATTGGTTCAAGAATAATTAGCAATGCTAAAAGAATTAATAGTTTAACTTATGATTGCATGCAGGAGATGGCCATATTTGGTGCTCAAGTATTAGATATGAGAGCTGCAATGCTTGCTGCGAAATGGAAAGTTCCTCTTTTAGTAGCTCATGCTCATAAAAATTCTTCAGGCACTCAAGTTTTTGACACAGATAAAATAAATACTGATATGGAAGAACATAGAACTATTCCTGTAAATATAAAGAATGATTTAGCAAAAAAATGTTTTAATATGGTATCTGATATTAAAAAGGTATTCAGAATAGGTCAAACTTTTAAACTAAATGGATTTGTATGTTATTGTCCTTCTATGTAATCTAATTCTTGCAAATATAGTTTTTTTTTCTGCCTGTATTTCAGGTTGCTAAGTTAGAACACTTTATAAAACAAAATTGGCAAAATGAGCAAGTAACTATAGAAAATGAAGTTGCAAATGTTAGTTTAGTAATGTTTAGTAAAGTTTAGTAGGATATCACTTAGATGATGAAGCAATTTTATTACAAATTATAGATATAAGTGGGAAAATGAAAACAAAAATATTTGGTATTGAGGTGTTGCAAAGCAGAATTACCATATGTGTTTAGTCTTTAAATGCTAATCGTTTGGCCGAAGCTTTGCATAATAAATTTATTAAGTAGTATTTAAAAATGAATATGTTAGCTTTTGACACTAGCCTTTCACAATTTTCTCTGGCATTGTATTTGTCTGAGAAAATTGTTTTTTATATGCGATGTGAGGAAGATAATAAACCAGCAGAGAAACTGGTGTCAACAATAGACGAGGCGTTAAAAGACGATAAAATAGAACATACAGATATTAATTATGTTGCAGTTACAAAAGGACCTGGTAGTTTTAGTGGAATTAGGGTTGCAATAGCTTGCGCGCAAGCTATGTGTTTTGCAACTAGCGCAAAGCCCATAGTTTTTACTACTTTTGACATATGCTGCAGTAGAGCTAAAAAACAAATAGGCTCTAACATACAAAATATATATGTTATATTAAAAGCTCATGCTCAGGCATATTATGTGCAAAGTTTGATTTACAAAACTGCATCCAAACTAATTACAAAATTATGTCTTTTAGTGCTTTGATTTTGACAACATAGATTGTATAAAACTGTTGCATGCACAGGTAATATAATAGAAGATAGCAAGTTGCTTGCATTGTTATCTGAGAAGAAAACATGTTTTTGCCTAGGTTTGCTTGCGCCAAAACAGACACAACACATCCAATGCTTTCTGCTTCATCATTCAACTACAAGAAATGAAGAACAATGTAATGTTCATTCCGTGCTTTATCTTCACAAATATCATAAACACAAGTTTCATATACTTTTATAATATACTGTGTATCCTATAATGCTAAGCATTTGATATTAAAGATTAACAATAAAAATGTACATGGCCATCCCCTTTGATCCAGGACCTTAAATTTAATGAAAATATTGGAAGCAAACTAAGCATTTTATACTGTAAAAACCAGTAGAAATTGAAAATGTAGGTCCTGGAGGGGGGGAGTGACCATATATATATATTATATATATAGAAAAGGAGTGAGATCAGGATGTCAAAAGAATTAAATCAGGATTTAATTCTGGGAGACAGTGTGTCTACAATATGTCTGAGGTCCTTTGGATCTCCTGGTTTTATTCTTTTACTACATTTATGTTATCAGTGAATTAACTCGGGTTTTATTCTATTCATCTCTGTGTCCTCTCTTTGCGACATAGCACGGATTGATTTGATTCCTTTCCGCCAGTTTTGCGGCCCTTTCAGTTTCAGTCTTCGCGACTGACGGTCCTTCCGTGCAATGAAGTTTCAGTTGCTGCTTCTGAGCTGCTTGCTCAGAGTAGCTTCTGTTGTCATCTATCGGCGATCCCAGCATGAAGGCGTCAGGACTCAGTTCATGGATTCGCCTGCTGGTGTCACTGCAGAGTTGAAAGCTGAAGGCTGGCAGGAGACTTGGTCTTGGTTTGGGCTGATACAGCATTTTCAAAGTTTTTCTGGTGAGAAGAACATCAGGAGTTAATTCCTTTAAAGTCTTGTCTTTGCAGTGGGAAGCTGATAAGCACAAGGCCTCATATGTTTTCATATCCTACGCCTGAGCCTGCGGTCCTTGAACAGGATCTGGAGTGTAGAGGGTAAGATCAAGTTTGCTTACTCTTGGCTATTGTATCCGGGTTTTCGGGATATATTTATTTATATTAGTCTGGAATTCAATCTGGTTTTAATTCCTTTTTTGGTCCTGAGCTGCCGATCAGCTTTTTCTGGTTGCCTTGAATCTGGAGGAATTAAATTAGGAGTTAATTTTTATTTACGTTTGTTGCTTCATTGGTACTAGCATCCAGTTGCTTACCCGAAGGAGCAGCACATGGTCTGCGTAGATGATCCTGTTGAACCCGCTGAACCAAAACGAAAGCGTGTAGAAAAGAGAAAGATTGGTCCTCGGTGGAATTGGTTTCTTCTTCCTCGGAGCCTTTACGGCGCCAAGCTTTGGAGTGGCTGAAAGGCAAGCAAATCCTCCACAAAACAAGTGTGCCATGAACGACAAATACGTTAGCAGTCCTTTTGTTCCTGCCGAACTTAATGGACAGCCAAAATGGATGGTTTATTATCATAACGGTTCATAAAGGATGATTTGGGGGGTCCTTTCTTTTGAGAACACCGACATGGGAACAGTTACTGATGGTTGTTGATCAATAACTATCAATGTAGTTATAATGCTTGATTATGCAAAATGAAATGACATCAGCCACTCATGTTTTCTCATGAAGGCCTATGGTTGATTATGCTTAGTTATCCCAGCACCTCATTTCAGAAACAAAGAATATTTTGAACGAATGAATAAATAAATAAATATATATATATATATATATATTTGTATTTAAATAAGAATATCTTTGTATATATGTAAATAGATATGTATGTATATATATATATATTTGTTTGTATATATATATATATATTTAAGATATATATAGAGATACATATTTGTTTTGAAAGATATTTATATTCATATTTGTATGTGTATATATACATATATATGTTGATTTGTATTTTGAGATTTATATTTCTATAGATATTTACATATTTAGATATATTAGACCATGATGACGCACAGGCCTTAATTTGCTTTATTGTGGTTATACTGATGCCAACAGCAATTCCTTGTGACGCATTCTACATCAAAGCCATTGCTTTGAATACGCCAAAATTGTTGGGGTTTAAACATGGACATTTCCTCAATGGCCATGGCGGATGTGTTTTTTTGGTGATGCAATCAGTTCTGGGTAATTCACACATCGTCAAAATTGTATGAGCAGTCGAATCCTCGGTCCTGGAAAGAGCAAAAAACACCGGGAGGAATCTCATGCTCGGCTTCTGGCCTTTTTCTTGATGAAGAGCCACGGGACCAATGGCCCCCAGAGTGAGGCCCTTGATGTTTGCCCCCAGAGTATAGTCGCAAAGGAAAGCAGAGAGCTTGAGCTCCTTCATCTTCTCCAAAGCGCGGCGGTCATGAAACACAATTCTGACTTCTGTCTCCGTGAGCACAAGAGGTTGCTCATCGATGACCACATCCTCCGGAGGATGTTCACAAAATGCCCTCAAGGACTGCAAAGAGTCCACAGACAAGACTTTGCGATCCTTGACGGCTCTGCTTGGCCTAAAATTTTTCAATTGCTCTGCACTCGGTCTCAAATTCTCCGGGACCTTGTCCTTCTCCATCTGTAGTAAGGCTTTCGCCGCAGAGGAAGACGCTGCAATTTCTGCGCGTGCATTCTTTTGATCCTGTTGGCATTGGGCTGATCATTGTGTTCCCCAACTTCTTCAACCTCCACACGCTGTGTATTCCTGCACAACGAAAACCTCCATTGCTTGCTGCAGCCAATGCACTTGTCACAAGCCGCTATGTACGCAGAAGCCTTCGCCTTGGAAGAAGAAGACCTGAGATGACAGCAACAACGATTTTGTTTCGCACCTATGTTGCCGCTGCTCGAAGAAGTTCAATCTCTCTCAGTGATGGTTTCATCGACTGCGCCGTCTTGCAGTCTGCAATGTCGTTCTTTCAAAGTGCAGAGTACCAAGATCCCATCGCTTTACACAGATGTCTCCAACACACAAAGACCAATGTTCGGTGGGCAGCAAAGACGAGACACGAAGGAAGTGGTGAAACAAGACTCCGCAACACGGAACTGCTGGGCATCACCATTGAGTTTCTTCATTGGTCGGTTCCTTCCCTGCATGGAACATAACCCGGGGTTTATGTGCACGCATGTCGTTAGGGGTCCACTGCAAAAAAGAATCACGACACAAAATGTCTGCATTTTCGAACACAATGGTTCCTCACCCGGTCTTTTAACCTTTCCCACAGAAAAATTGAGGGGTGTCCTGCTTGAATGTTTATGCGCACTGAGGCTTGGTTACCATCTGACGTCGAACTCGGCTGCTTCTGGAACTCTGTGCTCCTGCGAATGACAAGTTCAGCAACAGAGCAAGATTGGCGAGAGCCGAAGTTTGCGCAATACTTGCGACACCACGTGCTGGATGTGGCAGTGGATGGAACTATCAGACCTCCATGGCAGAGCGGGTTTGGTTGTGTCCCACCTGGCCTCACCACCTATGCCCCGAATTCGCTCGAAAGGAGCTGGCGGTCCTTGAAAGGTCTGTTGCGGAAAGGGATTCTCGGCATTTCAGGAGATTTTCTTAACGTTTGTTTGCTTTGGGAGCAATGGCGGCTCACAGATGTCCATTATTTATTTATCTATCTAACCAATTATCCAGCTATTTATCTATCTAATGTATTTACCTATCTTTCTGTTTATTTATCTATTTATCGATCAATCGATCTATCGATCTACCTATCTACCTATCTACCTATCTACCTATCTACCTATCTATCTATCTATCCATCTATCTATCTATCTATTTATCTATCTATCTAATCTAATCTAATCTAATCTAATCATTTAATCTAATCTAATCTAATCTAATCTAATCTAATCTAATTATCTATCTAGTTATTTATCTATGTATCTATCGGTCTTCCATCTAACCCTTGTTCTTCGCATGGCAGCTGCAAGTGATTGGTTTCTTTCTCCCGGACGGGCTGAGGCAAGAGACGCTAGATCCTGCAGCGTTGATGGTCGAATGTTGTGCAGTACTGCGGTCCAGAATCTCCCAGGGTTGCTATATGACAACATGAAGGGTGGCAAAGCCTCTCCATGGCCAGGCTTGCTGGCTGGGCCGGCTGGCGGAGCCAGGGGAGATGTGTTGGAAGATGGGGACGTTGAGTCCGGCACAACTTTGAAGCGATTAGACTTGCAATCCATAATGCGTCACTTCAGAAAGAAAGATGCAGCCGGCACTTTCGCAGCATCTGTTTGTTCCTTGGCTTTATCTGATGGCACTTCTGTCCGCATGGTCTATGTCATTCCGAAGTACATTTTGTCGTGGACCACGGAGAGGCGACCAGACACAGATGCGGTTCTTGCGCTGAGTTTGGCGCAGTCTGTTGAGGACGTGCAGGCCGCCTGCGCGGCTCCGGAGACTGGACGCTTGGAACTGCTTAACTTTTTTTGTTGGGGTGGAAGGTGGTCCGGTCTCATTCTGACCAGGCAGTTTTTGGATTTTTTTGTTGCTGCGCAAGCATGGTTTTTGAGGAGCGTATGACCTCATGAGACATTTATGGTTGCGGCGGTACTTCTGCAGCATCTATGTCACGACCGCAAATGAAGTCATCGATGTGCACAAGAACTGGATGGAGGGCGGCGGCGTCAGTGAACATGCCTTGTTTGTTCAGCAATTGCCCAGGTACCATCAAGATCGCGTGTGACCAAGAAGAGAGGGAAGAGACCGCAGAACCGCTAAAATCAATGCTGAAACCACCGCAGCTTGCGGCCTCTTCCACGGGTGTGGCCCCTTCCCAGGAAGCAGAGATGCCTTTGTTGGATTGTCAGTCCATGGTCCCGGGCTCTCTTCGTGACAAGAAACAGAAGCCAGTCCTGGAGTCATGCAGCCAAGACATGGAAAAAAATTGCCTGGCTTCCACCGTGTCTGGTCTGCGATGCTCCAAACGCCGCTGCGCAGGACATTTTTGTACCGTGCATGCTAAACTTGCGGCTTCAGAGGCTTCCAGTGATAACCTCTTCGATTCTGTTGAATCTCCTGCCCAGAAGGCTCTGCGGCAATGGGAAGAGTCGCGACTTCAATTGGCGATTCGTTCGTCTTTGGAGGAAAATGAAGAGGTCCTCGCGGAAATCCGGAGAAGCAATGACTTGATTGATCGACGCCTTCAGCGACAAGGGCGCCAACGTCTTGTGGTGCAGGGAGATGGGAACTGCCAGTTTGCCGCCGTCTTGGCATCGGCGCAGCTTGACATGACAGTGGGCCAACTGCGTGAGCGCGTGGTGGCTTACCTGGCTCCGTTGGGACAGAAATTCCGAGAAAAACTAGAAGAACGTTTTCAAGGAAAGTGGAGCCTCTACCTCCAACATATTTCTAAAGATGGAAGTTGGGGCGACCCCCTCAATTGTGGTCATCACAGACAGCGTTGATAATGCCCAGTACACTTCCATTACATCCGGACACTTGGGGTTCCCCGATCCATGTAACTCTCCGGATGGATCGCCATTTTGACGCAGTTCAAGAATCATGAGCAGGAAAAGACAAAAAGAGACCGGGAGCTGTCTGGCCAATGCCCATGATGCCCTTTTCAAAAAAGAATTAAATCAGGAGTTAATGCTTTGCAGTGTTTCGAGGGCTAAGGATCATGCCCGTTATTTCCGGGGAAGCCTTCAGCTGTGAATTAAACCAGGATTTAATCCCTTGGACAGAGGAACGAACGGTCTTATTCACATAGTGCAAGAAAGATTGAAAACAGGATTTAAAGCCGACAAATGCAAAGACGACAACCTTGCAAAATAAAATCAGGAGTTAATTCTTCCTAACTCCTGATTTTGCTCTCTTCCTATATATATATGTGATTTCAGTGCATCAGCAACATACCAACCATCGGTGTGTCCTCTGCAGCGGACCTTTTGTGGCTGAAGTGCCCATAGGTGAGGAAAAGAGCCGCAGTGCAGCCCCAGGTGGGGCCGAGCTACCATCATCATTGGTAGCGGAGCCCCACCTGGGGCACCGGCGCGATGGCCGACGAAAGATCGCTGAAACGGTTCAGCGGAGATGTGGATGATCCCGGAAAGGAACTCCGGAAATGGAAAGCATGGGCTCAGGCGAAGCTCGTTACAATGGAGAAGTTAACTGAAAAACAACGTGGGCCGTGGTTGTTCACACTACTGGATGGAGCCGCCTATGAGGCGGTGGAACACTTTTCTCTGGAAGAGATGTCTGCTGAAAATGGAGCAGAACAGATCTGGAAAGCACTCCAGGCCAGGTTTCCAGAGAAAGAGAAGCACGACCAAATGGGTGAGGTTCTCGGCGAAGTGTTTAGCCTAGCTGCAACTGATGGAGAAACTAGCAAACAGTGGACTGCCAGGGTGAAGGACACCTTCGACAGATGCCGCCGCAAGGCGGAGACTGACTTTCCCTCAGCTGCACGTCGTTGGATCACATTGAATTGTGCAGGCCTCACAGAACAAAAGAAGGCTATCATCAAAGCAAAGACTCAGGGCAGCTTACAGTTTGATGACATAGCTGCTGCGTTCAGGTCATGTTTTCCAGCGTTCAAGGCTCCAGGAGCCAAAGCCAAGAAGCCGATTGGGGCCCTCCACATCGAACACGAGGATGTGGTAGAAGTGCGACCGTGAAACTGCTCAGGAGGAATGGGATTCTTTCGGTGATGTAGAGGCCTTTCTGGCTGATCATGCAGGCGAGTCGCAGTCTGCTGAGATCTCTGAGGGAGAAGCCGCTGAAGCGTTGGCGGTAGCTTAGAAAGATCGTAGGCAGGAGATACAGCGTCACCAGCAGTCGCGGCGCTTTGGCAATCGATCTTCTGCAGCCTCTACAGCTTCCAGCAGGTCCTTTAGGATCGAGGTGGAGGAACTGAAAAAGAAAACCAAATGCCGAAAGTGCGGCAAGGTGGGTCATTGGGCCCGTGAGTGCCGGAGCAATGTTTCAGCCTCCTCTGCAAAGGAGCCAAGCTCATCAGCATCGAAGCCAGCTATGTCAGCGGATCTGGTGGAGTGCTCAACATTGGATGGTGAGATTTCCTTTGTCGGTACAGCACAGGTGGTTTCGGTGATGTCAGCTGGTCTGATCTCCTCACCAGGTTGGGGGGTCATAGATACTGGATGTGGTCGCACATTGATAGGGTCTCAAACTCTGGAAGAACTGAGTCAGAAGCTGGTATCCCTGGGCAAAAGTGCCGCTCAAGAGTATGCTGCCACCAACCGTTTCCGTTTTGGGAATGGTCAGGAAGAGACCTCAGTGAAAGCTGTCAGAATTCCAGTGGCAATCAGCGGAACCCAAGGCTTGATTGATGCTGCCGTGATTTCTGGACAGGCGCCTTTGCTTTTGGGCCGCCCAACACTGGAGAAGTTAAAGGTGCGCCTTGACTTCAGCACGGCCTCTATGAAGATGCCCAACCCTGAGATCACCTCCAACATGATCACGAATGAGGCTGGTCAGCTCCTTGTGAACATCCTCGACTTCAAGCAGAAGGTTCAGCCTTCACTGCCTTCCCAGCCATCTGCCGATGCCAACGACCAGGAGTCTCGGGTGGGGACGGTTTCTAGGGAAGTTACCAATGAGCCCAAGCAACAAGGGTCAACTCGTAAAAAGGTTACCCTTAAACAAAAAGAGTGCCGATGCTTGTTAGCGCAGTTGAAATCAGTAGACAATGCCAAGAAGTCCAAATGTCAAGTTGCTGAACTGTTTTCACCTCCTAGGTTTACACGTGAAGTTGAGAAGCATGGTGGCAAAGGGTTAGCATTTGACATCAAACAAGGTTGGGACTTGCTTGACCCAAAAACTCAAGATGTTGTTGATCGACTGCTAGACAAGACATGTCCTGAGTTGCTGGTGGTGTGCCCCACATGCACACACTCTGGAGGATGGGAAAATTTGAATCAATATTACAGGACACCGTTGGAAAGAGCACAGCTCCTCAGGAGGAATCGAGCGCGACTTCGATTCAGCGTGAAGCAAATTCAGAGGCAAATTCAACGGGGAGGTGCATTCATGTTGGAACACCCATGGCCATCTAGCATATGGAGGTCACCAGAGTTAAAGTCCCTGAAGCGTAAGTATGGGGTGTTTCGAGTTGACATGTGTGCATTCGACCTGCGATGCCCTGACACCGGAAAGCACATCCAAAAAGGCACCGGTCTCATGGTGTCTGACTCCAAAGTGCCTGAGCAGCTTGATGCATTTTGCCGCTGCCCAGGTAATCATGAACACAGGGTTGTTGCCGGACAGCTCAAGAGTGGACAGCGTGTTAGTGTTTTTGTTGCTCAATACACTCCCAAGTTTGTGCAAACCATGTTGAGAGCTTTTGGGGTTGGTAGCCATTGCCTGGATGTCCATTCCATAGCATGTGTCGGTCAACTTGAATGCTTAGCTGCAGAAGCCAATCCTGCACAGCCAGAAGCGAGTGCTCCTGAGGGAGAAGGTTCCGAAGCCAAGATCAAACAAGCGCTTGCCAAACTGCACAGAAATTTGGGACATCCGTCAACGAACGACATGCTCCGGATCCTCCGACACAGTCGAGCATCAGCTCAGGCCATAGAACTAGCAGGCAAATTGCAGTGTACAGTTTGTCAGAATCATCAGCAGCCGAAGCCAGCTCTCCCAGCCAATGTGCCACATTCGTTGGAATTTAATCACCATATAGGCATGGATGTGAAGTATCTCAAAGGATGGAAAGTCAATCAAAAGATCCCATGTGTTAACATAGTGGATTATGGTACTTCCTTGCAAATCATGGTGCCTTTGTCCCAACGTGAAACATCAGTCATGCTGAAGAAGGTCTTGAGAGACAAGTGGATAGCATGGGCAGGGGTGCCGACTCACCTCACAACTGATCCCGCTCAACCAAATGTGGGAGAGACGTTTGCTGAATACTGTGAAAGTTCTGGCATATGCATGCATCAAACAGCCGCAGATGCGCACTGGCAACTGGGCAAAGTTGAGAGACATGGCCAATGGTTTTCTCGAATCCTAGATCGAGTCTGCGACGAAGTCAAGCCATCCAGTGAAGAAGAATGGTTAGATTGTGTTGTACAAACTCAAACAGCGAAGAATAGCCTGTTGTCACAATCTGGTGTCAGTCCAAATCAAATGGTGTTTGGTAGGAACCCCAAAATCCCAGAAGATGTTTTGCAGGATGAACCTAATGTTGTAGCCTCGGATGCAGTCGAGACCTCGCAATCATTTGGCCACACTCATGTATAATTCGTCAATCTGCCAGGCGTGCTGTGCTTGCATGTCAGGATGACCGAGCCTTGAGAGCAGCTATCAGAGCCAGGCCAAGAACGGAACGGGATTTCAAGTCTGGTGATTGGGTGTTTTACTGGAGATCTCAAAAGTGGCAAGACGGAGTTTTAGAACTTGGTGGCAAATGGCATGGAACTGCTTTGGTCCTGGGTAGAGTAGGCAGAAACCTGGTAGTAGCCCATCGCCGCAGCCTCTTGCGCTGCGCTCCAGAACAGCTGCGTCATGCATCAAGCGAAGAAAGAGCTGTAGCAGAGTTTCCAGAGAGTGAACTTCTAGGAATCAAGAACTTGCTAGAGCGAGGCCAATTTCCCAAAAGTCAGTTTACTGACATTGTTGGTCAAGGAGCTCCGCCACAGCCTGAAGCGCCAGAACAAGTAATCCGTCCAATTTTGCCGGATGATGCACCAGCAGCCCGTTCAGCAGCGGAAATGTTTCAACAGCAGCAAGCTCAGTCAGCAGTGGAGCGTGTAGTGCAGCCTCCTCCAGCCGGAGAGACTAGCCAGTCCAGTGGTAGTGTCGTGCCTGAACCTGAACAACCTGAGGGGTCATCATATGGTCCAGTTCGTAGGAGGTATTTTTCCAAGCAAACTCAAGACAGTGTGTTCCGACCTCCTGCCATGAAACACGAAGACTTTGCCGAGATGATGCAAGAATTGGTCCCTCAGATTGTCATTCCTGATAGCAGTTCCTCGTCAGTAGACCAGGTCATGCAGACTACCAGTCCGAGAGGGACAAGCCAGAAGCGTGAAGCCAGTTCAGAAGGTGAAGCACCTTCGTCATCTAAACCCAGAGTAGAAGCAGCTGTCTCCGAGGGTTTATTTGCTGAAGAAGTGTTGTTAGCATGTCCAGGTGAGGTCCCATCGGTTGAAGTGTTGATGTCAGCCTTTTTGCAGAAACGACTCCAGAAAGAACTGCCTCCGTCTGGCAATCCGGTTGAGCTGATCAATGATGCCAAAAGTGCAGAATGGGCCACACTACTGGAGAAACCAGCAGTGCGAGTGTGGACTGGGAACAAGGCCAAGACAATCCGTGAAAAATATCCTGACCGTTTTATTGGAAGTAGATTTGTAATCACCGAAAAAACGGAAGATCAGAGCACTAGAATCAAAGCAAGATGGTGTCTGCAAGGACACTTAGACCCTGATTTCAGGCAAAAGATTGA